GTTGAGCTAAATGTTGGACTACCAAAGGTACTCCCAAGATTTGGAGGTGCAGTGCCAATACTGGCAGTAGAAAATGTGGATATGTTTTTATTGCTTTCATGCACGGTAGTAGAAGCAGTTACTACACTAGGAGAAGGATTATTAAAGTTAGGTACAGTAGTAGGTAAGTTAACTCTTCCACTCATTCCAGAACTAGGTGGTGGTCCTGACCTGCTAGCATTTGCTGGTGGCATATCTAGATTGGCAGTTTCAAAACGCCTACGACTGAGCTCTATCATATTCTGCATTTCAGTTTTACTGCTCAGCAACAACGTCACTTTTGACCCTTTAATTGTACCACCTGTGCGCATCATACCAAGCCTTGCATCTTCATCAGTGGCAAAAACGATGAAAGCCTCACCCAGTTCACCCCCTACAATATGCACGCCCCCATCAGGAATGGTCAATCCAGAGAAGAAGTGGCGAATGTCCATGGTCCCCGCCACAATCGGGAGACCTTGCAAGCGGATGACCACAGCCATGCTGCGCTGAAACAACACACACCTGCAGATGAGAAAAGGCAACGGCTATGTCAGACTACTGTTCATGGCATCATGCAATTACCTACAGATACCATCTACTATATTTGTTTATATACACCTAATAACATCTTGCAAAGATTAAGCGTGTTTATATTCCAAGTTCCTTATTCATGTTTGTTTACTTCATACAGGCTGAAGTATTAAACATTTATCAACACAATCAGTATACATTTTGCACTAGAAATTCCAAAATAGCTGTTATACGAAGACCACAAGTGTCAGTTAAAAAAAACAAAGGAACATCAAAAACCGTAACTACTACATCAGTAGTTCATTAATGGAATGTAAGCGAAAGGAGTATTTTAGCCAGACAAAGCAAAATTAATTTACCATTACCCTGATATGGTATCCACCGTACCTGACAAGGTGGCTGAAAACTTCTGCACAGCTATGGGAAACAAACAGTTCCCTTTAATTTGGGGAAGGATTTTACCTCCTGCCAGGTGAAGACAATTAGAAACATAACAGTGGGTTGGGAAAGAACAAAAACCCATTACGGACAACTAGCAACTGTGAGACTCACAAGACATCCTGACAGGGAGCGTCTATATTACACTGACCTGATGTTTTTTCTCCTAGCAAAGGCAAGAGGTCCAGGTGACCTGAAGCTTGCTATTATAAACCAGCCCCAGACGTTTTGTGACAATAGAGACCTCACCTAAATTAACATCTATGCATATCTAGATAATGACCTTCACAATTTTCAAAAACAAGGTATTTTTTAAAAGTTGTAGATATTCTGTCTACCGTGACCCCTTACATCTCAGATGTAAATAAATGAATTTTATTTCCACAGCTGCCATTAGTAGATCCTTAAGGTAATTCTGAACAGCTAGATCTGAACAGTTACCAAGAGGAAACTAGATAGCTGTCACTTAGGCAAACCTTCAGCAAAGGCTGAAAGCATGATATTAAATAATATTAGCACAATTCAACATCTCAGAAGCCAGTCTCTCATCCTAAACTATCAGCAATAGCACCATGCTTCACTTGAGCCACTTAATCTCTGAAACTTCTGGACTTCCTAAATACAAGCCAGTTCAGTATCTGTATGGAAGATCTCCAAAGCTCCCCTAAGTCACATACCAGTAGTGTTAACTCATCATTTGAAATCAAGGATGAACCAGATCACAGAATCACAGAACTGTTTAGGCTGGAAAAGACCTTAAAGACCAAGTCTAACCAGATGCCCCAGTGCAACACCACAAAGCTATGGATCAAAGACTCCCAGCCATTACCAAAGCTCTGACCAACCACAATCAATAACCATCTCCCAGCAACTCAGCTATATCCCAGCATACAGTCAAATCTCTAAGCTGGCTCCATGTGTTTGTCCAGGTCATCCAAACACATTAGAGAAGACATGGTAAATGACTAGAATGACTAGGTAAAGCCACAATTTAAACAGGTAAGGCTGAATCCAGTACTTAATGAAAACAAGAGTAACAATTCTTTTACAGGGTGAAGAAGCAACAATTCTTTTGTTTGCATAATGGAACCTCAGATTACTAAAATGTGTCCTTAAGTATTTTGTTCTGTTGACCAACACACCAGAGGTAAGTCCTCCAACACACTAATGAACTCAAGCAACATCCTGGGGTATTATAGGGCATTGCCCCACAACTATCACCAGACACCAGAAAAGTGTGGAGGGCCTTTCTCCCTCAAGGAAGCAGCAAACAAGTCCATTTGCACAAAGTCAGTTCTGCGGCTTTAGTCACTGTGCATGAATACTGGATTCCTTACTGCACCATCCTTGCAGTTCATAATATAAGATTTAAAAACAAAAAAAAGGAAAAAATACCACTAAGAAAACCCCTATTCCACCAAGGAAAGACAGCAACAGAAAGGCTTATACTATACTAAGTCTTATACTGTACTAAGCTTTGGGGATAGTTTTTTTTGAAAGCAACTTTCTCATCTCCATCGTGAGGCAACAGAAGCAACATCCTTGCCTTTAGCTCTTATAGTGGAATTACATTTAATCTGAGAATAAAATTCACTGCCCAATCATTTTCCAACAACAAAATAACTTGCCCATGAGGAAAAAAAAACCAGAAGTCAAAGTAAGTTTTAAAGAACTGTTTTAAAAAGTAGTGTTTTATAATGATTCTGTTGTTTTATTTTAAACTTGCCTAGCATTGATGACAATCTCCAAATTTAAAGTTAAAATTAAAATTCTGCCACCTTTAAGAAGCTATATTAAAGAGTATTGTAAACCCAAGGTTTATATTGTGCTACAGGATTGCTTCTGAATTAGATTATCCTGAGGCAAGCAAGCGGTAAAAAAATATCACTGGCTTGGCACCTATGCTTTCAAAACTGGAATACTACTAAAAGCAAATCTTGCCAGGAGATTTAGATTTCTTCTACTACCTATTATAGATAGAAATTAGTTTAGAAATTTTTATGTATCAAAAGTTAAAGACATTTGAAGCGTCTTGTGTTAAGTGAGAGACTACTTTTAGCTACTTCCTTAATCCAAAAGAGATGACAATCTCATATATAGCCATTGGTGGAACAAAGGCAACTTGGGAAGGTGTGGGAAAACCTTGTACTAAGGTCTGCTGCTTTGGAACACCTTACTTTCTCTAACAGAACTGACACCTGCTAGATAACTGCGTTTATAAATTATTTCAGCCCAGAGGACAAATCAACAGATGAAGTAACAGAAGAGTTCAAGCATTTGAACACTTATATAAATTCTGGGATAATGCAAATCTTTCAGTTTCACATTAAATTCAAAACTTCATAATAAAGACTAAGAGAGTATTTGAAGTCTTGCTACTAAGTACTCCATTCAGATCCACTAAATCACTATTGACAAAAAAATCTAAAGAGCTGCTTAGGCATATAATTACTAAAAAACCTATCTGCAATGACTTCAATGTAGTTAATTCCATGCAGAGTATTAAGCAAATGCTTGCTTAATGTTAAGCAAGAGCTGACAATACCATGGTCTGCATAAAAAGAGTTCTAAGGACTTGACTAATCAAATATTTTTGATAAAGGAACATGTAACACAGCTGCTTCATTTTTTCAGAATTTTGATACTTAGACAAAGTAATAGTGTCAGTTCTGTTACTTACAGAAAAATCTCAAGGACAAAAAGGGCCAAATTTTAAATTTCTAAACACTAACAAACCACATTTTTTCCAAAATGCAGTTAGGAGACAATAACCCACTTGCTCAAATTTTCCAAGTAGTGAAAATGCAAAGCCTGCTCAAATATTTTTCACTGTTGACTTGCAGAGACCAGCACATGCAGAGGCAACATTAACTTCAGACACAAAATAGGCCACACATCATTTCAGCAAGCACTGAAGGCTTTTTGTAGGGCTGTTCTCAGTTCTCAGGCTGCCTGATTTTCTCCGAGCACAAAAAGGTACTTCAAGGCAAAAGTGGGTTTTATTGCCTTTTTTTGCATTTCATATAGGTACTTCAAGGCAAAAGTGGGTTTTATTGCCTTTTTTTGCATTTCATATATTTGTGGAAAGACAACATCCTATGAGTGTACTATGGACAATCCATCCCCATTAGCTAGCTGTGATCAAAGCTGGAGATTTACAGGCTGCTGACAACCAACCTGATTCAACTCATTTAATGAATTTTAACACGCCTTAACAGTAATATCTTTTAAAATGTTGATGCTACACTGGGAAAAAAAACGTGTAAAAGATGGCAATACTATTTATCTCATCAATGTATTCATTAGTAAAATAATAATTATTCGGGTCAAACATTTAAATTCGAAAGCACACCAGATTAGCCTTTCAAGATGTATGGATTTTGCAATAGAAAAGTTCAGAAGATTCCTCCTAGTCCCTGGGAAGTATTTAAAGTACAATACCCACATGATACACACACACACACACAAACATATTTGGCAATTCTTGACTGAAGACTAAGAACTGAAGGAACACTGGTTCCTGTAGGAGGAATTTTAAGTATGAACTGTCTCACAAAAGTTAAAACTGCAAACTACAGTTTTGTCTTTTACTTAAGGCTAAAATCAACCTGTTATAGTCATCCTGGAGCCAATTCAAAACTATCTGACCCTTTTAAGTACTGCAAAAACTAATCAGAACCAACTGATGTACACTCCTACACTCCAACAATTACAAACACAGAGACCCATGGCTTGCAGCAAAGTAACTGCATTTGCCAACAGTGCAAAATAAACAGGAGAGTGTTCCAGTCTACCACATGCTGATGAAACAACAAAACATTAGTTTGGCAGAAAATTCTGTTTACAAGAAAAACATTGCCAAAACAACCACCACCGGTGGTGAGTAGACAAGCTATAGATTATCTGACTCAAGTCTTTTGACACAAATTTACTGATTCCAAAAGCTTCATTTGTTTCTTAGGATATACTCAATATGCATAAAAAGAAGTCTTCAATTCAAAAGCTCTTACCTGCAAAGACAGATGTTTTTTTCTTAACAAGTAGCAGAAGCCAAGCCAATCCTGTGGGCAACCAATTAAAACCAACTTTTAGACTGCAATAAAGAATAAATGGAGGCAAAAATCAATGCAGGCAACACAACAGCAGTAACAGTCCACAAAGAACTGTATACACAGAATTTCAAACCTGCAACCACCACAAGGCACTGCAACATAAAAGAATCATAAGGGTGCATTTTCTACAGATTATCTCTATATGACTTACTGGCAATTGCATTGTAGAGCTTTTGTATGGTTTCAAGACATAAATGCCTTCCACAAAGACTATAGAAAGAGCCAGAATGCATTTTAAGAATCTTTCAAATTTTCCTATCACCAATAGGTGAAAAAAATCTCTCTTTCAAAGGCAAAGAACAAGAGTTAAATACTTGAAAGCCCTGAATTTTACCAAACCCTGCTCCATTATTGGTAGCATACTGCTCCAATAATGGTATTCCTTCCTCCAACGGTGCATCTACTTACTTGAACAAAGTAAGGTAGAGTAAGCCATGCCTAAGAAAACCACCCCAGAACTGCACCTGAAGAATTCTTCAAGAGTCACACTAGCTGGGTAAAACTAAGTGACATTTCACAGCCATGTCTATGCAGTCAACTCCACAGAGCACACAGCAAGAACTCCCATAAGATACTCTACTTTCATTTGTAATCTGCCATTTCATTACTCAAATCCTCATCAAATGCCCATTTTTTTCATTACTTTATAAAAATTATCTTCCCAGGTTTACAACTCAACAAAAAAGCCAAGCATTTTAAGTGGCAACATAACTATTTTGTATTGAAAGATAGAATGGAAAACCTTTGCTCTTTCATTACTTGGCAGATCACCTCACACTAAAACTGTGATTCTTTGGCAAGTCATTGAGGAACGAATCTCACTAAGAACAGATAAATGCCTTCTCACACAACCCCAACAAGCTGGTTTCAGTTACAAGCATCATTACTGAAGTGAACTTAGAGCAAGAAGTACAAACAAACCCTTCACAAACTCCCTAACAGAGAGAATTAAAACAAACGTAACTATTCACGTATCTTCCAGGACATGAACGACAGACTTACAAGTGAGAAAGATAACACTACAGTTAAATTAAAATGGCAAACACATTTAGAAAAATAAGATTTTTGTTTATTAGACCTTGAAGAGAAACATGCAATCCTGCATTAGAAGAACTCAACTACATAGTTTCATGTATAGCAGCGTCAACCAGCAGTTTGCAAAGAAAGAAAGAAATGCAATCACCTGAAAAACCATCTCATGCAAAACCACACCTGCTTCAAGCAGCAGATAAATCTTTCATGCACAAGGAACTTCCCATTTAGAAGAAAAGCCTAAATCATTAGATGGATTTCCAGTATAGCAACCATGTTCCCCTTCACAACACTGAAAACAAGCTGAAGATCTGCAGTGGACTAAGACAATGCAAACAAAACCAGGCAGCATTCAGAATAGGAGCAAAACTCCACTTTGCTACGTTTAACTTCTTCACCAAATACCATCTACTTTTAATTTCAAGTGTCACATCTCTCAACTTTAAAGAAAACCATCCATGCCTTTTGTAGGCAAAAATTACCTTTCCAATCAACAGAATATGCAAGAGCACATTAACTAGACAAGAATCAGCTAGAGCACAGGTGTTCCCACAGAGCTGGCAGCCCATCTCTGAGAGTTCTCTGGAGAAACCTCCACAACACCCTGTCCGCTGTATAGAAAGATCCAACATCCACTGGACACAACAAATTATTTAACGAGAGGAAACCACCACGGAAACAATCAGCCGATTTGCCTGACTAACACGAGTAGATCAAGGTGAGGTAAGAAACCACTAATAACAAGTAAGTTTAGGAGTGAGTAAAACCAGAGCCATAAGTTTTTTTATATCGAAAGAAAACTCAAAGTGTGCATTTCCGGGGCTCATTTGAACGCTAATTCGCTTTGGGTTTTTTTTCTTGGAAAGGTGGCTTTAAGGTTTTTTATTTTTTCGTTTATCGATCGTGGGGGAGTAGGATGGTATTTTGTTTGGTTGGCTGTTGCTATTTGGTTGTTTTGGGTTTTTTTTAGCGGAGCTGATTTTTTCTAGCAGAAGCGACTTTACTGAACAGCAACTTCGCTGGTGTTTATAAGGTGCACCCGACGAGCGTTGGTAGCGCCGCAGACACCGGGGACCTTCCCCTCCGCAAGGTGCGGAGTACTTGCCTCGCTTCGTCCCCCGGGCGGGGCGGGGCAAGGCGCAGCCGCCCCGCCTCAGCACCCCCGGGATCCAGACACGCCGGGGCCCCGCGCCGACAACGGGACCGCAGAGTACCCCGCCGCACCCGTCAAACCCCCGCCTCAGGCTCCGGCACAGCCCCCGCCATGCGGCCCGTGCCACGGCTCGGGCCCCGGCGCCGCCGCAAGGTCACTCGGCCGCTCCCGCCGGACGGGCCCGCGGCGCCTGCGTTCGGCCCCACAGACTCACCTGCCCGCGCAGCTCCGCGGGCCGGCGTGCGCGGGCGGCGACAGGGAGTCAGGGACGGGGGAGCGGCCGGGGCCGGCCCGAGCCGCGGGCCTCAGCGCGCCGGGCTGCCGCGAGGCGGGAGCGGCCCCGCTCGGCGCCCCGGGGCCGCAGGCGGGAGGCACCGCCCGGCCCGGCCCGGCCCGGCCCTTTGTGCGCGGGAACGCGCCCGCCCGGCCTCCCTCCCCGCGTCTCCCCGCCACGCCGCGGGCCCACAGCGCCGGATCAGGCAGGCGGCCCGGCCTGCCCGGGCGCCGCCGCGCTCTTACCGAGGGATCTGTACGGGAAAAAGGGTTAGAACGGAGCCACCCCCACCGGGCCCGCGGCGCGCCGAGCCCCGCGCACCGACCGCAGCCGCACAAAATGGCCGCCGCGATGCGGCGCCGCTGGGGGGCGGGGGCCGGGTGGCGCGGGGGCCGGGCGAGCGGCACGGCGAAGGCGGGGTCGCGCGGGGGCGGTGGCGCGTGCGCTGGACTGGGCGGGGCCGGGGCGGGGCCTGCACTGCGCGTGCGGCGCCGCTGAGGACTGTTGCTGAGGGAACGGGGACTCCGGGAGAGCGCTGAACTAACAAGGAGGAAAACAGCCCTGAGAGCGGCTGTTTCTAACCTCTGGATGTACGACCAAGTTGCAGAATAAAAATGAAAGACTCCTGGGAGCCGATGCCCCGTGCTGTGATTGTCTCCTTGGCTTGACTGAATGCAACACTGATAACCAGGCAGTGCACTGAGCTCAGCGACCCCCGGACTCTTCTGAGTTCTCCGTCACTGCGCTTCAACGGACACAGGCACAGCAGCACCAGCCATTTCCAATGGAAAAAATCCCCGTTTACTTCTCTGCAAGAAACGGATAAAAGTAAATAATTGCCTCCCTTTGCAAATGCTTTTGCAGTGAATGTTGGAGTTCAACAACTCAGTTTACTTTGGCCCTGGTTTCTCTTAAGAGGTGAAAACAGTCACGGTTGTGCTCTCCTGAGGTGGATCCAGCGTGGGGTTGCTCAGCAGCACAATCATCCCCACTCCATTTGTTTTCCTATATTTTACTTTCAAATTCTACTTTACTACTCTCATCCCCTCCCAGGCAACAGCACACATGTGCTTATCTTCTCCCTGTTAACCCCAGTTATAAGATTTTGTATTCTATTTGGTATTTATGATAGTAGATGGCCTGAAAATACTAGTTCTGCCAAGCTAATATCTCCTTCTCGTCTAGCCAAGTGTGGGCAGTATCCAGTAGTTCACCTTTCTATAGCACTAGTGATAATAGATAGGGTTGGCTGTCACCATGCACCCTGACACAGCCCAGAAAAGCAGGTGAGTGAAGTCACCAGAGGCACCAATAGCCAGGCTTGCCAGCTTCCCTGGAGAGCTGGTTGCCTAGAGCATGCGAGGGATAGCAGGAGCATCTGCAGCTCAGGGCTTCACTCTGTGACACCAATAGCACTTCCCAAGCTGCGCCAGCCACCCTGCAGTGGGGAGACAGTGTGGGGTAACAAAAGGACAGTGCTAGAATAACCCAGGTCAGAGGAAAAATAAGACTTTTCAGCTTATGTCACAGACATCTTTTCTTTATGATGTCCTTTCTTTAAAAATCCTTTCTTTAGGATTTTTCCCTCTTCTGGAAGGCTGAGGCCCCAGAAAGAAAATGTAAACAATGGTTATCTGCTGCTGTGGAATGCAACGGGTGCCCCTGTGATTGGCCCATGTTGCATGTTTACAATTAAGAGCCAATCAGGGGCCAAGCTTTCTCTGGGACAGATCAGAGAGAGCTCCTTTGTTGATTATTTCTTTTCTATTTTTAGCTCAGCAAGCTTCTGAACTTCTCTCTCTATTCCTTTTAGTATAGTCTTAATGAAACTTATATCATAAAATAATAAATCCAGCCTTCTGATCATGGAGTCAAGATTCTCGTCTCTCTCTTCACCCTGAAAAACCCTTGCAAGCCTGGTAACAAGCTTATGTTCAATGTGATGAGTCACCACGTCAATTTTTGTTGGTCAAAAAAAGTATGGTGAAGATACTTGTGAGGTTTACTGTGTGGACCATTAGGAGCATGCCAAGGGACCAAGAGTACCAAAGACAAGTCAGCAGCGTAATGCAGATAGTTGCCAACAACAAGAAGAAAGTATCTGTGGAAAGCAAAACATTGATAGACAGAAGGTTATAGGACAAGGGATCACGTAACCGTGTCCAGTGTTTTCCCTGTAACATGCATGTGGGGAAAGGCAGAGGAAAAAAAGCATTAGAAAATAATGGGTTTTTCCTTTATTAGACACTAGGGAACCACTGAGGGCACACTCATTTATGTCTCCTTTACTTAAATCAAAACTGAAGAAAAGTGTTAGGTATGCAACCAGGAGAAGAAAATTTACACAAGACATTTTAAAGTAAAGCTTGAGGAAACCAGCATCCACTGTGGCAATTGCACATATTAAATAAATATATTTTCCTCCTTGCAATATTAGTTTTGCTGCACCATTAGTCTAGAAGTATTACCCCCAAATCCAGGGTTCTTTGCTTCCCCAGACCCTAACCTAATGCTTC